TCAGGAGGCTCTCCTGTAGGATTGAGTCATTCTGGGTATATAGTGTTCTTAGACTTTTACCGACTCTCTGCTTACAAAAACCTCTGGTTACCTTTCTGACACTTAACTAGTACTCTATACCGGATTAGCACTCCCATAGTTGAACAACACCTTAATCACGCCCTACGTTGATTGTAGGGGCTGATTGTCCTTATTGGGCTAAATCAGGCCTTTATTTTACAAACCCCGTTGTGATTTCGCTATAAGATCGTCGTCCCTTCTTACGTTTTGAAACGTTACCGGCTGCTACAATCCTTATAGCGTGGTAGGTTCACGTCGACACCGGTTATTTGGTTTGGCGTAGTTGCGGCGGAGAGGATCTGGGTGTATAGCTAGGTCGTCAAATCAGGCCAAAAGGAAAACTCGTTAGTTGTTGTGTGTCCTAGTTTCGGTTGAAGGTACCGTTACCTCCATACCGGGCACACCAGCCACCGATAACTTACTGCCCTGCCGTGTATTTTTATGGGTAACGCGGGTAGTTTTCTACTCCTGCACAAGCAGTTATCTTTCTTTCATGTAAGGTAGTTGTGCGTCTAACAAAAGTAAGTAGTACTATCCCCCTGAACTTGCCGCCATACCCGACAATAACTTTCACAAATTCACGACCTTTATACGAGTAACCTATTATCAAACGTCCCACGAAAATTAACGGAGGAGCTAAATTACGTTAAATGCATAAAAATAACAAAGGAGAGAGAGAAATTGCACGTATATATTGCAGTAATAGCACCAGACGTGTTTGAACAGTAGTACGCACATAAGACGATTGACGTGACAGGTATTGATAAACTATCCTTATGTAAAGATCGGCTCCGATAAAGGAACAAAAAGCCACTAAATCACCCGAGCAAACACCCTACATCGCCTACTCAAAGTGGCTCTGGCGGATGAGACTTGTTGGTTAGTGGCATGACTGGCGAAGATTTGAGTACGTGCTCTTATCTGCAGTAGGTATCGTTGCCGCGCAGTGAGAATCAAGTGAGAATCACTAAATAGGAATCATACTCATCCAGAGTCGCCGAAACAGTTATTGAAAATTCTTTTTTGAGGATGCATTTTACAAAATCGCGCTCAATCCTCGTGAGGATCGCCATTCTATTTTACGAAACACTTATGCCGGGGACCTCAAGTATCTAAACTCCTAAACCTACTGATTAGCACAGGTAAAGTCGTAACATAGTGGTACGTCTTTCAATAACTACCTAACTAAACAAACACACGATAAGTACGTTTCACAACATTTTTACGCAAACTTTACTTACAAACTCTTTATTCTGTAAAGCCAGAGTGAAGGTCTCGTCAACTTCAGAAAGAGTCGAACCATCCCGTCGCATTCATAGGTTTATTAACTCACAGACATTTTTCCGGTGTTCTTCAGGGCTCTATGTCCACGACACCCTTATGGAGATTTTTTTCCAGGAAATTCCTTAATTTAGTTCAGTCTTTGAAGAACGGTCTCACTTTGCATAAACGTAATTTCATTTGCCTGTACGTCTTTTCGCGTCCCGGAATGTTTCAAAGGACATGTGCATTAATTACTATGTTCTCACACAGTCGAAACTAAAACATTTAACTATCAGGGCAGTCTCTCGTTTCCATTGTGTACAAATGGATTACTCGATCATCACGTCGTGGCGAGTGGACACCCGTGCGGTCAAAAGATGAGGACGTGTTCGTCAATAGAAAGAAAGTACATTCCATCAACACGCAGATTGTTTTCATTCATCATGATAGGGGGACTTGAACGGCGGTATGGGCTGTTATTGAAAGTGTTTAAGTGCTGGAAATATGCTCATTGGATAATAGTTTGCAGGGTGCTTTTAATTGCCTCCTCGATTTAATGCAATTTACGTATTTTTATTGTTTCCTCTCTCTCTTTAACGTGCATATATAACGTCATTATCGTGGTCTGCACAAACTTGTCATCATGCGTGTATTCTGCTAACTGCACTGTCCATAACTATTTGATAGGAATACATTTCTAGCCGAGGCTATTTCCTTGTTTTTCGGTGATTTAGTGGGCTCGTTTGTGGGATGTAGCGGATGAGTTTCACCGAGACCGCCTACTCTGAACAACCAATCACCGTACTGACCGCTTCTAAACTCATGCACGAGAATAGACGTCATCCATAGCAACGGCGCGTCACTCTTAGTTCACTCTTAGTGATTTATCCTTAGTATGAGTAGGTCTCAGCGGCTTTGTCAATAACTTTTAAGAAAAAACTCCTACGTAAAATGTTTTAGCGCGAGTTAGGAGCACTCCTAGCGGTAAGATAAAATGCTTTGTGAATACGGCCCCTGGAGTTCATAGATTTGAGGATTTGGATGACTAATCGTGTCCATTTCAGCATTGTATCACCATGCAGAAAGTTATTGATGGATTGATTTGTTTGTGTGCTATTCATGCAAAGTGTTGTAAAAATGCGTTTGAAATGAATGTTTGAGAAATAAGACATTTCGGTCTCACTTCCAGAGCAGTTGAAGTCTTTCTCAGCTTGGTAGGGCAGCGTAAGTATCCAAATAATTGAGTGTCTGTAAAAAGGCCACAAGAAGTCCCGAGATACAGGTGCTGTGGGAATACCTCTAAAAAAAGGTCCTTTAAGGAATTAAATCAAGTCAGAAACTTCTTGCCAGAGTGAAACGTATTTGCATTAAAGTAAACTGGACATGCAGAAAAGCAGCTTACAAAGTTTCTGTACAGTAATTATGATACAAAGTGTTCACTTTGATTTTGTAAATTGATATCCGTCAGAGACAAAGAGAACACATGTTTATAATGAGCTATAGTCACACCCTCACCTGTGGCACGCACCCATTATCGCTGACGCAGCAGTTGGTTTCACAGGCTGTTTATTAAGATGGATGCTGCAGATCACCTGTGTGTGATCAGGGTGTGCCGGGTGATTTCAGGTTAAATAAACATGTGAGGGGAGAGTCCAGCGGCTGAGAGTCAGTTTGAGCAGTACATCAGAAAGACGTGCAATCGTGCATACTAAACAAATATGATAGGTTTGACCTTTTAAGTGAAAATGAACATAAGTGAATCATTCATTTGCCAAATGTTGAATATCTGTGCTCACCAAGCCTTACTTCATCTATTTTACAGCTGCTTGTATGATGCTCAGAAAACATTAGGGCTGTCCTCCACTAGAGACAAGCACCACTTTGAAAAGATTGTGTTACCAGAGATGATGTGCTTAAAATGAGATCTGAAGCTGTTTAAGATTAAATAAATAAACCTGATACAACAAATTGTCTTGCCTTTAAAAGGTACCAGCATCCAGTTGCACTCACAAAACACTGATATATATCTTAAAGTTAAGAGTGGGAAGACCAAATAAGAAAACACACACAGCCACACGGCCACTTCAAGAGTTAAGTGAGCCAGGAAATAGGATGTTACGCTTGGTAAATCTTATCTATTAAGTTTTCTATGATGCTGATAAGTTGGGAAATTACGTCTATTTTCTGGACTATTTCATGCATCTTCTAGTTCCTGGTAGTGCTAACCATCCCATAAAACATATAAATCTAACTTCAGTTTGAACTCAGCTCACCCTTAAAACAACCCTTAAGCAAGATATAATAGCTCAATACTGTAGGTATTTCTAGAAACTGTCATTTCCTGGAATTTTCTTTTTGCTCTTAACTCCATTCCTGAGCTAAAGGCTGCATGATCAACACACGCTGCTCTTTGAGTGGGATCTTCTGAGTGAAAGTTGATTGTTTTCACAGGCGTCAGGGCTTTAAATGTCACACTGCATATGACTGCCGTTAGCTGAGGAGGTGGAGAATGAGCTGATTTCCCAGAAGAATCCCTCTTTTCTCCTCACAACTGTTTTGTCAATCTGTTTTGTCAATCACTATTTCCCGAGAGACTCCCCAGCTTTAGCAGATTTCTGGGTCTGAGGTCAACACTCTGTTTAACCGGACATTGTTCTCAGAGGGAGGGTTAACGGCTCTGGGAAGCCTCTGGACGTCGGCCATGTTGCATCTGGAAGTCTTCTGCAGGGTGAGGAAGCCATCCGTCTGCAGGTGAGCGGCCTGTGCCATCTGAACTGGATAGTGGTTCGACATGTGTTGAAACAATCAGTGCGTTAAGAGATTGAAGAGAAGAAAGCTGATCTGCATGCTGTCAGATACTGAATGGCACTGACTGTGGCGGGCTGGCAAAGGAACATGTTTTTGTAGAGCATTGATCCGAAGACATGCTTACATTTCACTTGGAATTAACTTCTTTTTTTCCTTAGAAATAAATAAGCAGCGCTTTTACGTTATATTATTTTTTTATGTAAATGCTTGAAGCGCTTCTTTGCTTTTCAGTAGGTTCATGTTAAATGGTTTTACCCTTTCCTGAAGTGTGGTATAGGTTGTTTGCATATGAATGGTCTGTAAAGGCAAAGCATGTAATCAAATCACAGTGAAGGAACACAATACAATGGGCCACTTTAAAGATGTGCTCGCCATCCATTCATTCCAAAAGATCAGTATGGACTTTCATTTCCATAATCAGTCCTTTTATTGAGCACAGATCAATATTTTATTTCCGGCCATGATTCAGCGATGACGTTGCTATCAGAAGCCTTTTCTACGGTGAAATAGATGTATTTTCTGTACAGAAAGGGCAGTAACTCAGGATTATTCTCATTTCAATTACCTTTCAGATTATTTCTCAATTAATCAGCTATTTTTGTTGGTCTATAAAGTCAGAAATGAGTGAAATGCCCATTGTTTTGTGTTTCCATGTTCAAAAAGATGTTATTTATATACATATAAGACACATAGAATCCTCAAATGTATATATCATTAAAAAATATATATATTTGTTATATAATAATATAGATCTCCATGTTTTACTTTAAACCACACTAACTATTTATGATGTATATTTTTAGCTTAATATCATATCAACTCCATTCACTGTCGTACTAAACAGCACCAAAAAGAGTGACACAAATATATTTGAATATTTACCAACTTTTATTTTGGTTTATTTATGAGTTTGTTACAAGATGAGTCAGCATTTTGCAGGTCAATTTAACACCAGCTGCTGCTACAACAACAACTTTAGCATTGAAATATGAACATGGCATTTATATCAATCTTTATAGCAACAATATAATTAATGCCACAGGGAAATCCAACAAGGCAAGACCTTTAAACTCATCAGAGAGGAAACTTAACAAAGTCATCAGTTTTCGTTCCCTTCCTTAATTCCCTCTTCGATGAGAGGAATTGCACATTACATTAAGGTGAAAACAAGATCCCTGCAAGGTAATGGGCTGGAAAATGTACACATCAGTTTTCTTTAGGAGTCCGGCTAACATCAGAAAGTTTCTGTTTTGTGGAAAAGCCCTCAGTGTAGCTGCCTTTTGATATGAAATGTAGGAGATCATTAAAAGTTATCTTTGAGCTCAGAGCTGATTGGTGAAACCCTAAGACCAAATTGTTTGCAAATGTTTCTAAGTACCTTAAAAAAACCGGAACACATTAATCTTCAAACCGATTTAAAATGGCTCAATCCCATCTCAACCTTCTCACAGAGAAGACATAGAATACACACATATAATAAATTAACATCATGGATCACTTTTCACATTTTTTTACAGTCATGGTGCAGGTTGTCCACACAGCCAAAGTGCAACAGAAGAGCTTGTCTACAAAGCCTTCTGGTTTCTTTGATGTAACTGTTGTGTTATGCAACGTTTTAAGTGTGTTTCGTAGAAAGATATGACTGAAGATTTATACATTGAGAATGAGTATTTAGTCCAGTTTTACATCCGTCAACAGCAGCCTGCAAGATGTTCAGTCTTCAGATGCTTTTCCTTTCTTTGCAGCGCTCCTTATGAGTTATTTTCCCAGCGAGGAATGTTTTTTTTAGAGGTCATGCTGACAGTCATATGCATTTCTCCTGCGTGTTTGCGGTCTCGTCAGTGAAGGTCACATGCAGAGCCGGGTCCTTTGGGCACATTGGCAGCTCTTTCATTGGCCTGCCTGGCGCTCTTTCCTCTAAATCACTGGGCTCCAGCTCCCTCGGAGGCCCCTCCACCTCTTGGGGCCCCGTCAACGTCTGTGCATCTGGGGGACTGGAGCCTTCCTGTGCCCCCGCTTGTACTGGCCTCCCCTCGGCTGGGTACAGGAAGGTCTGGGAGGTGCTCACCATTTCCCGCAGCTCTCGTGACACCATCGAGGGAGAATCTCGTGAGACGATGGAGGAAAGACGACCGTCTGCGCATCGGAACTGACCGCCGTTTCTTCCCCCCCGCCCGCCCATTTTGCAGAACAGACACTTAATTTTCTCCATCAGCTTGAGGACTACAGTCTTCCTCAGCAGGATGTAGATCCAAGGGTCCAAGATGGGGTTGACAGAAGCCATGCGGATGGCCAGCAAGTCTTGGTTCAACCCAGAAGTCTCTTCTGTCTGGTTTGTGAACAGCTGATTTACAAAGATCCTCAACTGTAGCAGAGAGAAAACAAAAATGCATTTAGGAACAAGCAACAACACAGAAATGCCTCTAAAGATGACATCCCTTTCAATTATCTGCACATCATCTTTTTTTATTAATCATTTAGTCAGTCAGAAAAAAGTAAAAATGTCAAGTCTAGTTTCTAAAAGTCAATTACATTGAATTCATATTAAATACAAATGTATGAGTAAAATCATAAGATAGACTGGAGATTGTAATTGTAAGTGGAAGAAACACCCACAAGCTACAAAACACCAAACACTAACCAAATACCCTAAAAACTAAACTAACCCTTATAATGACAGAGTTGTCGAAGGAGATGTTTAGCTCGTAAAACCCTCCAAAATATTTACTTTATTCTAATATAAGCTCTAAAGGCTTGAAATCCTCATCTTAAGGATCATTTTTGCCCATTTGTATGTACTTTAAGATGATCAAAATAGTAACAGATTATTTTTCTGTCCATCGGCTGATTCAACAGAATCCACTTCAAGCTTGTGTTTATTACAAGCCTCAACTTGTCTCCGCTTCATTTACAAGAATAAAGTCAATGTTTATTTTACATATTCCTACACGGTTGGCATGGAGTGGGTCGAGTCTAAATACACACGAGGCTGAATGTCACTTCTTAGTAACAACAGCGTGGAGATGGCAGGAGGCCAGTAAAAACTGTTCTCATCATCTTTCACCGTAGGACAGCCTTTTGCCTCTGGCTTCCCCAGGGTCAAACTAAGAATCCACTTTTGACAAAGTCACAACATCTTCGGTATTTCATCATTAAAGGAAAAATGTTCCAGTACATAGCCTTCAAATAATCCCTTTTTAACATGCCTCGTATGGAAGATGAGTTGTCTATCTGAAGTTATTGAGGGGAGAAGACAATAGCATTGGAAGATATTCACTGAGGCTGCTAATAATACCAGCTGAAGTTTAAAGTGAGTGTAAAGCACTTTGAGCTTCATCTCTTAAAACTGCTCGAAACAAATGTATTATTTGTGATAACAAAGAAGGCTGTAGATTTTGTCCACTCAATGTTTACAGCAAGCAGAAACGGGTTAGTTGGCACCTGAATGTTGTTTGAAGATAGACTCTCAACCTGTCCTTTACTTTGATCACTGACTTTGGCCTCACAGATGCAGAAACTAAGTTTGCATGATGTCATTCTGCAGAAGCACCTGCAGGAATCTCACGCTCTGCCCTGATCCTCTCTCTCCCTCAGGCCGAGCACTGAACTCTGATAGAGCTCAACAGAGCAAACTCTCAGGGACTGTTTGCAAAGAAATAACATGACAGTTTACACCAATCTTTTCTAAACCACACATTTGCTTTTACTAAAATGTATAATTATGTAGATTTACTAAGTGCTGTTTTAATCAGTTTAGATGTGCTACCTTCTTTGACTATTTCCATTTTAGAATACTTCATTGTGAAATATTGTACTCTTGCTCATGTATTGAGATAGTTCCTTCAAATCCCAATTTATTTAAAAACCTTGACAAAAAATCTTGAAAATCTTCTTGGTATCGTTACCTTTGGTCTATAATTAAGCCAGAAATATCCCAAACCAAATGCTGTTTTTGTACAGCAAACAGAGCCACTATTGTTGTGTTTAAATGTGCACAGTCTTTTTCATTTATATTTGTATTAATTTCTATTTCATTGCTTGTATTTTAATGTGGTTGTATTATAAAAAACATGTCATTTTTACGCGTCAAAATCTAGTGCGCACATGTAGGTTGCACACTGTGTCTGCTACAGTTGTACTCACCACTAAAGGTATGGAGCAGATGAGCACCACAGCGGAGGTGGCTATCAGCAGGATCACCATTTGGATCTCTGCCCCGGCCAACCGTCCAAAACTCCGCCTGCGCCGGAGCTCCGCGATGCGCCTCTGGCCCGTGCCCAGAGACGTGCGGCGGATGAACCGCTTGTGCATGAGGATGAGAGCCCCGCACACCATCACGTTGCATATGATGGTGGCCAGCACGATGACTGAGTTCACACCGGCGTACATTAAATTATAAGTTGCCACGGTTGTCTGGTTGTTCTGCCAGTCAATGAAGCACCAAGTCCCCGGTTTCTGGCGCGTCACCTGCCCGAACCCCAGGCTGGGAAGTGCGCAAAACACAATGTTGGAAATGTAAATGGCCAAAAGAGTAAGCGCGGCGAGTTTTTGGTTCACGTATTCGTTGTAGAAATATGCGTGGTTTATTGCCAGGTATCTCTCCACGGACATCGCAAACACAATGCTGAGCTGCACCAAGAAGAAGAAGAGCAGGATGAAGCCGGAGTACTGGCACAGAGGCTCTCCGCCCGGCCACTCGCCCTTCACGTAGGTGGCGATGGTGACCGGGCTGGCCAGCAGGGTGCCCAGGAGGTCCGTCACTGCCAGGCCACAGACAAGGGTGTAAAAAGTGGTCTCCTTTTGTTCCTTTCGTGATATCCGAAGGACCACGATTGCAATGACATTTCCCACCACCCCGAAAATGAACATAATCGCCGGGATGGTGGGCGCTTTGAATCCCTTCTCTGCTGCCGTGGAGCTCATATCTGCTGGAGTTTCTTTCACGGTTTCACACTAGGTTAAGGTTTCCTCTCACCCTCGAAGAATAGGCACTTCCATGAATGCGCATTCTCCAGGTTTTCCAACAAGAAGAAAATCCATTGCTTCCCTTTTACGCACAGCATTAGAACTCCATAATCCGCCAAATTCGCGATGAAATCAGAGAAACACAGAGGAGAAAGATGTTTACTCTTGTGGTTTGGGTTTGCAATTGATGCTGCGGGAGTGCGAGCCGCGCCTCACGTTGTTGTCACTCTCAAAACTGACAGGGAAGTTTCCTCTGCGGCCTTGAAGGCAGCTCCTCCTCTCAGTCTCATCTAACCACTGAGCTGTTTGAGAAATAATGCCGCCACTTGCAGAGCCAGTACGTGTTTGTACGATGTTACAATCCTAGTTCCACTTCTTCATTATGACTAAAATAAGCTTATTACCAACCTGACTCTGTTACTCATGTCAGTTGTCTCCAGGAAAGTCAAAAGTGTCATATATTTATAACATTAGTCCAGTGGTGGAAAATACGCACTCTTAATCAATGTAGGGCTACTTGAACCTGCTCCATTTGAAACTTTATTAAAAGTAAAATATCATACTTTTTGACACTTCATGTGTGTTTACTTTACTAATGAGATATTTCATACAAAACAACACCCTTAAAATGGTCCTTGCAGAAGTCCCTTATTATTATCAAGTAGGTTTGGTCGGTACCACTTTACAATAAGACTACCCTTATAAAGGGTTTACGGATAGTTTGTTATTAATTTATTAATTAGGTTGTGAACACTTTATAAATCATTAATAAGCTTTTATAAGACATGAGATAAACAGGGCAACTGGGACCGGTTGCTTGCCAAATAGTGAGCCAACATTTATGCTAAGCCTTCATCTTCTTCATCAGCCAGCATCCTTGGTATCTGTTGCCTCAGCGTATAAAAAAACTGAACTCATGAACGAACTGATTTGTACTATTTTCTGAACTGAACTGAAACTGAACCATTGAGACTCACTAAATCTCTGAATGAGCTATATCGACACTATGTCTAACTAGAAACCCTAGTATTTTGCAAAACCTAAAACCTCGCAAACAACAACTTTAACTTTACAAAATAACGCAGAACCCATAAACAAACAATCACCACTGCTCCTCCCATAATTGCGCTCAAAAGCTAGACGAAAAGAAGCGCCGCTTGCACCTAACCCACTGAATATAAGCCAAAGCGAGGCGGCCGCGCGTTGGCAACAGATTCGGTGATCTTCCGCCCCCGTCTCACAGTCACACAATATCGTACCGCGCATCACCAACAACAACACCGCATCGTCAATAGGTGTTTATGGCACAGTCAAAAGCCTAAGTCCTAATACACAGCTGACTGCGATTATTCTTCTCTTGTCGCCCATACGTCCCACGACTCTTCTCAATCCTAGAACCTCCCACTCGGACTAGACATGGACACTAGTAGCACTGTAGGCCTCTGACAACTACACGTCGATTCGTTGCTCCTTTTACTAGAAGTAGTGCGCTCTTTCCACTATATACAGATCCACTGGCACTGCACTAACAACCTAAGAAGAAAAAAAAACAAGTCCCAAACAAAAATAAAAAAAAACAACGACCCGCAAATACACGAATACACTTTAACAGATCATGGCAACCTGTCGAAAGAATAAATACCAGGCTGCAGCACTCACATGAAAACCAAAAGGTTAAGGAGCTAAATTACCAGTTTCTCATACATATCTGTTATTGCCATTTCAATTCCTGTTGATCCTTGAACGCGTCCCAGAAGTACGAACATCATTAAGAGGACTATGACTGCCCCAGACAGTCTACCTCTCCCCCCTAACTAAAAAACAAAAAACACATAAAAATCATCTAGCCCATCTACCCTCTCTTACATCTCACCACCGATAGCAAATAAAAGGAGGACACAATCAATCACACGTCTTCAATCGACATTTGAAAAACTTATATTAAACAATTAATAAAATCCTAAGATGAAATCATAAAAAACTAAAACAAAACTATACTAACAAAAAACACAACATCTATCAAGTAATTAAGGAACTAAAATACAATAACATTGTCCTTAATTAGTACTATAGAAGAAAACATAGACCAATAACAATCATAACTAATTGACTTACACGTTACAAAGAATTATAACTTGGGTTAATATCACAACTACCAAAACTATAGGCAGGATCACAAACACAAAAATAAATATCAGAAACATCACACTTTACTCACCTTCTCCTGTCTATACTCAATTTTACTCAACTTTTACTATAGATACAACACCACACACAGAACTAGCGACAACCAGCCAGAAGAAATCATATAAAGTCTGTAAATTCATAATCTTACAATACAACAATAATCACCAAGTTTAGGTACTAATAACGCTAAAACGAACTAAACACGACAATGGACCTCGCAAAAAGACATAAGGAAAACAAACTATGTCTGAATAAAACTCAGGATCGATCCCATAAAGCCCAAGACCGTCAACGCTACCCAATGCGGTATACTTAGATTATACCTAAGCATTAGCCAGGATTTAATCTAAGTCACTAATTGACAATCAACAAAAGCAACCACATATAAAACAATATAAAACTCTCCTAGTCATCCACACGCACGACTAGGTAAACAGTATTCGGTGACAGACACATAGACTAAATATCTATACGCCCTTTGACCCGAATAAGTAGTTCTTAAAGCATTTACTGCAGACTGAAGCGAACCTGGACTTTCGTACCTCGAACTGAACTGAACGACACTGAGAGTTGGAGCTTTTCACTGAACACCCCCCTGAACGAACTATCGAAACATCCAGATTATCCCACCTGACAACTGCTGAAAAAACGAAGTACCCATGAGACGTGGTCCATTCACCTGAAACTCGAAAGCGTCGGAAGCACGACCATACAACTAATCTGACCACGTAATATATTATAAAAACCGACGCCACAGACACCTATATAATACTAACACAAGCGTGACAAATGTTACTTAACCGAGGCGCACAACACAGTCAAATCAATTTACAATCACTCTCGCAAAGGCTCATTATTATCCCAAACATGAATCTACTACGATCTCCTTTTGTAAGTGATCTGACCTACCTCCCCCCAACACAGCCCTTAGTGGGTC